GATCAAACATATTTGAGCTCATATCTTAAAAATCCATATACCCATAGTGCTTCAAGTTGTATATCCACACTTTGAGAGTGTATATTCATTTCCTAATATCCCCCTTCTTGTATTCTTGAGTTGAAAGGGTTGTGAGACCCATTATTTGAGAGGTAGCCAAATACCTAAGTAAATTTGGAGTGAATTGTAAGGTTACCAAGTACCCGTAAACTTGGAGATTGAAAGGTATCCAAGAACCCGAAATCTTGGAAGATTGTAAAGGTTTGTCAGGCACCCGTGAAGCTTGACCATTAGTGAAAGAGTTGATCGAGCGACTTCAGTCTGGACGTAGGTCACAAGTGGTGGTGACCGAACCAGGATATATTGTGTTAGCAATTCTCTAAACTCTAAACTCTTTATTTCTAGCACTTTAATTGCTTCTTTGATATCTTGTATGTGCTAGTATAAGTTTTATAATTGTGATATATTATATATTATGGATTGTCTGAATGTATTGATTAGCTTTTCACATATTAAAGTTTGCTTGAAATGATTATTTAGAAATTAGAAGGGGGCTTTTGCGAAAATTTTGTAATACTCAATTCACCCCCCTCTTGAGTATGAAAGCCACATTCCTAACACTTCTAACCTAGCCTCCACCCTCAACTTATGAATATATAGAGGAGGTGGAATTTAGGGTTTAAGGTTTAGGTTTTTTGAGAAACCCATCAAATGGGCTTGGGCTTAGCATTGAAGGAGGAAGCCCAACACTGAATTCCACAGCTAATCATTCGTTTAATGTCAAGAAAATCAAACAAAAGTTCAATAGACTACGATCTAAGCATTGTGAGTTCTCTCTTTACTCTTGCAACACATTGAATTTGGTTAGGATGTAAAAACCAACACTATTATTACTAGTGAAGAAGTATGACAATCATACATTCGAGTTTGAGTTATGATTTTATTTAATTATCAACATTTTTAAGTGTAATTTGACTATTTTTAAAAATGGTTTTAGGCACATTCGGAGGCTACTCAAATTCAAAAGAAAGGATGTGAATATTACAAGTTATTGGAAATCATATTCAATAGAAGTATTTCAACCAAAGTACTTCATCCTTCATCTACCCAAGACCCACCAAATAGAGATGAAGAACAAGAGATTGAAAATCAATACCTTAATAATAGGGTTCATGTAGATCTTGATGGTGATAGTTCAAATGATGACATACAAATAATTGAGCACAACACACATAGGAGAAAGCTCAAAATTCAAGTAAGAGAGTGCAAGTCATACAAAGAGTCTAAAATATTTCAAATGGGAGATGCACTTCAAGCATGAGTCAAAGCATCTAAAGCAAGAGCAGAAAAGTCTTTAGCTAGGGTTGAAAAATATAGGGCCACTTCTTCAGTTGACTATTCTATTACAAAGTGTGTGACTGCCCTTGGTGAGATTAAAGATGTTGCAAATGACATCTACATGAAAGTTTTGCAAAATTTATGGAACCTAATTGGAGGGAAGTGTTTCTTACTATGTCTATTGATAGGAGAAAGACGTGACTAGATAGACTTGATTGAGAACCTTTGCATGTGCGATTTATGTATTTTTGGTTGGGTCATATTATGCTGTAGTTTGCTACAACTTAAGTTTTAATTTTGGTGCTGCAATGTGGCTTTAGAGTTTATTTTGCAACTTTAGTATTGATCAGATTCACTTTGCTGTGACTACATCTTTTGTTTTATTAAAACTTTGGTCTGATCAGTTTTGTTAATGTGGATATAGATATGTTTATTTTGGTAGATGTAAATGCAAAGGAACACATATGTGAACAACTTTACTTTTGATATATTATTGAATATTGTGATGATTATATTTTTTGATAATGTTTTTATATGAGAAATAGGATAATCATTAAGTTAGAGACACCATATGATACTTTTTATGTGTAAATTTAATTGTTAAATTGTGTAACCAGATCACCTTTTTTTTCATTTCTGGTTTTACTTTCCACTATTTAGTAGTACAACTTAATTATCAAATCTTCTTATTTTCTAACTTTAGTTGAAAGGTATTGGATTTAGCAATCTGCCTTGAGTGTAAAACTAATGAATATAAGACTTTCAAGTGTTGCAAACTGAGAGCATTTGGATGCTTATAAACTTTTTTACTATGTTAAAAATGTAACATATGGTTAATCATATTCATTCATGTCATTGGAATACAAAGTAAAATATTATTAAATTAGATATGAATAGAAATTCTGACAGAGTAGACATATAAGTATTTTGACTCGAAAAGGAAGACATGAAATGATTTCAAGTGGATAATAACCGCACACATAATAAGTTTATTCTATTTTTATTTTGTTTTTATGTTTAATAAGTCAATAGCATGATAATTAACTTTCATTTGATTAAAAATATTAAAATAATATTTTTAATTTTATTTTTATTAATTTGTAATGTGATTTACTTTAATCTTAAAAATAATTATAATGTGATTTGTTATGGTGTTAAAAATATATTTTATTGTTTACCCAAAATATATATTTTATTAAAATATATTTAAAATTTTACATATGGTTAAAAAAATTATAAAATGAAGTTGAAAATAAAAAAATAGTAATCAAACGAGTTTTTTTTTTAACTTTGAAAATCTGTTTTTAAAATAAATTTACCAAGCAAATTTTTCTGTTTTTTAAATTTTAAAACTCTTTTAAAAAATAATTTTATCAAATAATTTTTTTTTTCTTCTTTTATTTTTAAAAACAGTTCTTATAAACTACTCTACAAAATAGTTTTGAAAACAATAAATTAATTATATTTTATTTTTAATTTTTTTTATAAAATAATTAATGAAATTTGTGTTTTCTGTCTTTTTTGTTTTGTTTTAAAAGTTAAAAATATAAACACAAAACAAAAACAACTCATACATATTCTCTAAATTTGATTTTAAAAGTAAAAAAAATAGTTACAATTTTTAGAATTATTTTTTACAAAATATGTCTTATCAAACATATTTTTATTTTTTATATTTTTGTTCTGAAAATTAAAAAATTATTTTTAAAAACAGTATTCAAATATGACCAAATAGGTCCAAAATCTTTACTCTCAATGGCCCAATGGACTAATTTAGTAATGGCGTATATATCAGTGTTTTAAAATTTCACCCCGTCCCTCGGGTTGACCCGAGTCAACCCTGACCCCTCCCCTTTGAGGGTTGAGGTCACAAAGTTGGACCCTATATGCATATCGATTCCTCCGACCCCCAAACCCCGACTGCGTGTCAGTGACTCCCGAGTTAGAGGGGTCAAAGGGGGTCGGTCACTGCATGTCTTTTTATAAAAAAATTTCCCATGAAACAACATCGTTTTATTAAAAAAATAAATAAAAATGCTTGCAAACCTAAATCTAATCGTTCTCTTCTCTCCCAGCGACCGAGACGTCTTCAATCTTCACTTTGCTGTCGTGAATCTTCTAGAAAAGGTAAGAATTTTACCCATTCAAATGAAATCCTTACGGTCGTCGATGGAAAATAAAAACTCATTCTTACTTATTTTAAACTTTTCTTTGTCAGAGACCTTATAAAAAGAGACAAAATCGGGTCAGCGTAGTGACCCCATTAAAATATGAATTTTGTACTTTGGTATCTTATACTTTAATTAGGTTGTGTAGTATTGATTTGTGGTTGTAATTGGTGAATTATGTTAAGTATATTTTGAATCTTTGATGATTGGTGGTTTGTTTTTTAATATTTTCATATAGGGTATATATATTTATGTTTTTTTAATATTTAAAATTAGGTCAGCGTAGTGACCCTGTGACCCCCCGGTTTAACCAATGACCCCTGACCTCGATTAGGTCGATTGCCAGGCCGGATTTTTAAACATTGGTATATATTGTTTTTGTTTAATATGTTGTATATTATTATTAGGGATCTATTTATTTTATGTTGCATAAGATAATTATCTTATGCAATAGACACAAGATAGTGGGGTCCACTTTTTATCCACTTTTTATTTAAAAAAAAAAAGTAGTGGACCTAACTACATTATCTCTATTGTATAAGATAATTATCTTGTGTAATATAAGATAATTATTTCTCATATTATTATTATTGTTATGGTCGTATCTATAATACATTACTAGTGATAATATACCATATTAAACAAATCCATATGTTATTATAGATAATAAATAGGTTGTCTACCAAAAAAAATAAAATAATAATAAATAGGCTTTATTAGAAAAATTATATGTATTTGACTATAAATAGACGAAATATTTTTCATAAATACTAGACTAAATTTATGGTCATTTATAAAGCACCTTAATTTATGTACTTGTACATGAAGAAAATCTTTAATTTATACAACCCAATCTACTAATCTATTAATGACGTATATATTGTTTTTGTGCAGTATATATTATAATTATTGCTATTATAATATTTTCGCCATATTCATACTACATTATCGATGACAGCATAATCGAATGTAACCCAATGACAGTATTGAACAATCAATAGTCTAATAAGGATAATAGATTACTATCAGTAGTCTAATATAGATATAAACACACACACACACACAAAATATTTTTCATAAATATTAGGCTTTAATTTATGATCATTTATAAAAGGCTCTTAATTTATGTACACGAGTACACGATGATAAAGAAAAATACTTAAACAAAATGTTTAATTCTGCACGACCGTCTCTTCTAACTTATTAATGGCGTATGTATAGTTTGTGTGCAGTCTATAACTCTATAATATGTAGCAAACTATGATAATAATTATTATTTTGGCTGTATTTATAGTTCATTAATGATGATATCATAATCACATTTAACTCAATTGCCAGTTATACCGTATTGAACGCCGTCCTGACGAAAATATCCCTGCTGAAACGCGTATCCAAATTTTCCAAAATACAAAACCATGGGCAGAAGCGTAATATCAACTCGGTCCAATTCATTGCCGATCAAAAACACCGGTGTTCCTCGCCCACCTTGGCTTCGTATGAACTTGGATTTGGAGCTCGAAGCAAAATCAAACTCCAACACACCCTTCAATTCTTCTCTCAATTCTCACAGCTATTCCATAAATCAATGACACCATTGCAAGATTCGAGGTATATATGTTTGTATTAAATTTTTTGAGCTTGCTGTTATTTCCTTCATTTTTTATTTATTTATTTATTTACCTTCTAGGGTTTTGATTTTGGAATTCGTAATGCTTTTCCGCGTTATTAAGGTAGTTCGTGATTTCAAATTTTATCATTTTTTTGTATTGATTGAATCCTTAGGGTTTCTTCATGTAATTATTTCTATCTGTCTGTGTTTTGTTTTTAGCTTTTTTTTATTGAACTTTCGAACGAACTGAGTTTGAGGCAGTAGAGCGGAAAGTGTATATGCATGCATGGAGTAGCCAGAACATTTGCAACATAAGTTATGTTGTTAATAGACACATGTTTCTATTTTATTTTATATTATTTAATTTTTTTGGCTTTTTATGAGAATATTTTTATATACTGAAATTTAACATAAAAAAAAAGCATGCTTGGAGTTCAGAGAGCATAGGATTTTTTTTTTTTTTTTTTTACAGCAAGTCCATTCCCTGTATATTGGCTGATCATGCATTGAACTGAGGAAGTAAACATAGGAGCAAGAGTAGGCTGATGTGAGTTTGGGAAGGAAAATTGGTAAATAATGGTGTGCATCTGTTGTTACTGGCTTACAAATTGAGGGAGTATAGTTTCAATGTTTTCTAATTGAAAGAAACAGTAGTTATCTCTAAGGTTGATTAACTGTTTGTGTTAGGAATATGATAATGAAATCTAGTTAATGGGTTCAAGATTGGCGTTTGAAGTCCTGACGATAAGTTGTAGTAATTGGTGTTTGAAGTTGTGACTGTAAGTTTTTGTAGTAATTGGTGTTTGAAGTTGTGACTGTAAGTTTTTGTAGTATTTGGGTTTGAAATTGAGAGAGTAAGTTGTTATAGTAATTGGTTTGCATAAAGCATTTGTCTACTGAATTACATTTCTATATGTGATCATTACTAAATTAGGCTTGATGATGTTCAATCATACTGACTTGAGTATGACAAGTTTGGTTGTGTATGAATTTGATCTATGGTCACAATCAATGTGACTTGTTTGGGATTTGAGATGAAATTGCTTGTCAGTAGAGGACATTGTTGACTTAGGTAGAATTGGCAACATTCTCAGACATGGTGAATCCCACATATTTCTATTTTCAGATGAGTGTGGCCCAGAGGTCATACCGTCATAGCATCAAGTTTTTTTTTCATTCAATAATCTGCCATTTCAAAAAATATCTACATTTATATCAAAAGGGTGTCTAGTAGCAGTTATTGTCATTAAGACTAAAGATAAATATGCTACATCTAATAATTTTTTCCCCCTATTCTTGCTTCATTAAATTGTAACTGAGATAGTTAGTTGAAGTCATTCTCAGGTATATTTTATTAAAATGAGATTTTGTCCTGGAAACTAAGTTTGAAATTGAGGTGGTACACTATACACCGAGCTGATAGATTTGTGATATAAGAATGAGGGTGGATCCTATATAGAGCAGAATGGGAAGGCATATATAATGTAATTTTATCCAATTGTTTCATGAGGTCTTCAAGTAAAATGGTGCTAAAGATTAAAGATAATACTTTACCATGGAACATTTTACTTTTGCATTTTTTGTGAGCATATATTTTACTAAGCTTTTTATAAAAATGCTGGTGCTAATATATATGTGTGTGTGTGTGTGTCTATATATATATATATATATATATATATATATAGGGGTAGGATATTCTTACACCGGTGTAAGAGTTAGAAGTCTTACACTCAATCTTGACCATTGATCCACTTGTATCCAATGACTTACATTACTAAAAAATTAGAGCTCTTAGATATAAGTGGGATCAACGGATAAGATTGAGAGTGTAACTTACACTGGTGTAAAATGATCCTGACCCATATATATATATATATTTTAATTTATATATATATATATATATATATATATATTAATTTTCTTTACTTCTCTGCATTTAGAGATTTTTGTGCACTTGTTTCTGTCATATGTGGAAATAATTAGTATACATGCCATTGAGTTATTCAGAATAATTCTTTATGCTCGTTACAAATTCCTTAGCTTTTGATAAATTTGAAAACTTGTGTTCGTTATATGAATTTCGGGTGCCTTTAAGCATGAATCCTAATTTGCAATCCCAAGCTTTGTACATAGTGTGCACATAAATATCTCTATATCACAGCCAATAGAATTTGATTTTTCTGTGTTATTACTTTGATCATTTCAGGTGCATCGACCAATTGTTCCCTTGCAATTTAGATTTGCCCTTTATGTGCTATTTAGATTTGTCATGCACTACTCTTTGTTCTGTATTTTTGACTCAAAGGATGTGTGGGAATTAGTGCAATGGCAACATCCACCAAGTTTGATCTATCTTCCAGCAGCCCAGATAGACCATTGTACACTGGGCAGCGTGGATCCCACATAGGTTTTTCATTAGATAGATCAGGTAGCTTTCGTGAAAGCGTGGAAAATCCAATTCTGTCGACCCTTCCAAACATGTCAAGAAGCAGTTCTTCAGCAACACAAGGGGATTTGTTGAACTTCTTCAATGGCGTGCGTTTTGATCCAAAGTTGATGGCTCCAGACCACAAGTCTAATCGTCAAACGGATTATAAACGGCATGTCAGTGCTGTTCTTGGAATTTCACCTGATGAATCTCCATCTACTTCTGCAAAAGGCAAGCAGTTGCCATCCCCAGTACCAGAAGATATCAAACGACTCAGGGATGGTTTACACGCAAGCTTTACACGGGCAAGGTAGTTCTTTCTTTGTTTTGCTACTTGCATTAAAGTTAGAGCTGCTTAATAACACTGAATAATTCAACAGGGAACGTGCTGAAATGTTCAGTAAAGCCTTATTTAGATTTAACAGAGTTTTCCAAAGTATAACTACTTCAAAGAAGAGATCTCGTGCGGAAACTTTTTCTAATGACCGTTCTAGTTTCACGTTAAGTGATCGGTCAGTCTTAGGGCCAAGCATAGGTAAAGTTGGAGTTCAAGGTCATGCTGTCACAGGTGGTTTCGAACATGAGCAGCAAAAGTTGGAAGAAAGAACCAAAAATATTGTTCCAAACAAGCGCACTAGAACTTCTTTGGCTGATGTAAGGGTATGTGTCTTTGTTTTCTTTGCTTGTTTGTTTGCTAGTATCAGCACAATATTCCTCTTCCTTTTATGCCTCCTATTGTTACATATTCAGTTTCTTGCTGTTCTCAAGTAAATACTACATGTTTATTAATAGCATATAACTAAATATACATCCCTAATCGTAAATTTCAAAGTGTTTGTTATATCTTTGTGTGACATGGAAGCCTGTTTCAAGTTTGCCTTTGCAAAATTTGCCTTCTAGAACATTTGCCCTTGGTTTTCTGGTGGAGATACCCCTTTTTGTGTAATTGTTAGAGAATAATATAAGCCATTAAAAAGACCATCACCCAATGCCTTAAGGTTTTGGGTTGAAATGGTTCTTTACATAGTATCAGAGCTTCAGTGACCATAAGGCCATGAGTTCGATCCTCACCGTCCCCCACTTTCAAGTGGAATTAAATAAGCACAAGGTAAAACAAAAAAAAAATTGGGCCTGTGCAATATCCACGCTTTAAGCCCAAAGAGCTCTTGCGTGAGGAGGTGTGTTAGAGAATAATATGAACCACTAAAAAGACCATCACCCAATGCCTTAAGGTTTTGGGTTGAAGTGGTTCTTTACGGTAATCTATTATGAAATTCTTCTGTATATATGTTTATTATGTAAAAATGTGTTCCACCCATAAGCTTGTAGGTATGTCTTTCGTTAACTCCCCCAAGTTTTTTATGCGTGTCTCGTTGCTTTTAAGAAAATGCCAAATTACAGAATACTCTGTTTTTTTTTTTAACAGTTTTCTAGTCTAATAAGGCATATGTGCATGTCTTGTGGCTTTACAACTTTGTTCTTTTCTTTTCATGGAGAGTCAGATTAACTTGGTATGCTATAAAATCTGTTGAGCTAAACTGACTTGGGTTTGATATATTCTAGATGGATGTGCGGCCTAATTCTTCTGTCAGGCCATCTGGGACTGTAGATAAAGATAAAGAAATGCTTCGGATTTCCAATAGTGGTGCAGTTCAGGGCGAGGAACGAGTTTTACCGATTGGAGTTGATGGTTGGGAGAAGTCAAAAATGAAAAAGAAGCGTTCTGGCACCAAACCAGATGGGTCTCCAAGTTCAGCATTGACAAAACCTGTTAACATTTTCCAAGAAACTAAACAAGGAATGCAACAAAGATTAGCTACTGATGCTCGGTCAAAATTGAGTAATGATTCTCATGCTTTCAGGTATGAATGTATTTGTATGCATTTATATTGTTTTACACATATAATTAGCTCGTGTATGCTCTCTTGCTTCCATATAATAAAGTATTAGTTAGCAAAATGATAAATAAATGAATTAGTGGTCGTTATATCTAAAAATAAAATGGGAAACAAAAAAGAAGTAGAAGCTTTGAAAATTTAAGGAAATAATGACACCCATATACATGGGGAATATCTACTTATTACTTTTTCCATTATTTATTTATGTAGCAAAAAATTTATGCCTCATTATCCTTGTAAAGATTATCATTTACTTTGGAACTTAACTCTTGAGTGGAGAGCTTCAGTGATTGTTCTCAGGGTTGAAGTTCATGGCTAAATTTCATTGCAGGACATGCTCAAGTATTGCCTTATTGTGAATTTACTAATCAAATGTAACTACTGATTAAACCTTTGTTCCTCATGTCTTATTTATTCAATGCCAATATTTAGATTAAATAACAAGGGTGTGATTAGTGGGATTTCATGGGGAGTTGTGTCTTTTTAAACAAAGGTATGATTAGTTAAACATTTCAAACAACTATTTTTGTTAAAAATTTGTGGTTGCGTAACAATGTTTTTATTCATTTACTGTAAATTTACATTGTATTTTGCAAATATAAATTTTAAATATGTTTCTCCAGTATCATTATTACATATTAGCAATTTATTACTGGCGCTATGCTCATCTAATGCTAGATAATAAGATGCCAAATTGCGGAATTACTTGACATTATAAGAATAACCTATTATGTGTTAGGATAGGTACAACCCCCTTGTTCTACCAATGGTAATTTGTTGAATTCTCTGCCTTTTACGTTCATAATGCAAGAATGGAAGAATGTCAGAAAATAAATGAGAGAGCCGTTGGGGGTTTTCTCTTTATATAGTGGTAATGGTTTCAAACCCATCTGTGGCTGAAGTAAAAAGAAAATATTGTTCTGAGAGATTTTGTTAAGTTCTCTCTGATTTTAAAGATCTTTGATGGAAGATACCATGTAACAAGTTTTTTTTTTAATTCCTGTTGATTATCTTTCTACAATATAGGCTGTAAATATAATACTTTCATGTATCTTTGTTCAGGCCGGGGGTTTCTAATGGAACTGTGGGAGCTGGAAAATTAGATGGCATCTCTCAACAAACTGGGTTGGGCATACGTGTCTCTACCCCTAGAAGTGACCTAGATAATAATTCTGCCGTCAATAATAGGCGGGATCGTCCTCTTAATTCTGAGAAGGAAAGGGTAAACTTCAGAGCGATTAATAAGTAAGCACATTGCGGTGCTCAGTTCTTATTATGATTTGTTGCTTTTGAAAAGATAGTTCTCTTTTATCTTCGGCCACCTTGTTTTTTCTTCATGGTGCTTTCTCCTTGATTTCTTGTTTTGAAATTTGCTCCATTTCCATATGTTATGGATCCTTGTGAATTATGATTAGTATTCAAAGCTCTCTTCTTCATTATGATATGCGTTCCGAAAATGATTAGACGTTTTGGGATAAGCAACTGCTTTAGAACAAGATTAGTTATTTGGCTTCCATATGGTGAAAAGCACACGGTCTTTTTAAAGGGATACCCCTTACATATATGTTGAGGGATTGGGTAGCTTTAGTACGTTGATGTTTATTATTCCTTGTTTTTTGCTTTTACTTTCTCCTTTTTTAAGGATGATTTCTTACTCTCCTTTCCCTTTGTATAATTTTTTTTTTTTGTCTTAATAAATTTATTTATTTTATTGAAAAAAGTATTCTGTAATTGATTTAGTCTCTACATTTGTTTTATACTCAGGGCAACTATACGTGATGAATTTAATTCAGCTAGCCCAAATTCAAGTGCAAGAATGAAGACTTCTATTCGGGCACCACGATCAGGTTCAGGAGTTGCCCCCAAGTTGTCGCCAGTTGTCAATAGATCAGCTGTTCCTGATGATTGGGAGCTGTCTCATTGTTCCACCAAGCCCCCTGCCAGTGTTGGGACTAACAATCGCAAACGTGTGGCATCGGCACGATCATCCTCCCCACCTGTTGTCCACTGGCAGAGGCCTCAAAAGAGCTCACGCACTTCCAGAAGAACAAATTTTGTGCCCATTGTTTCAAGTAATGATGATTCCCCTGCTTTGGATTCTGTATCAGATGTGACTGGTAATGATCTTGGTTTGGGATTTGCCAGACGTTTGGCTGGCAGTTCTCCTCAGCAAATTAAATTAAAAGTTGATTCTTTATCTTCAGCTGCCTTATCTGAAAGTGAAGAGTCAGGGGTGGCTGAGATTAAACCTAAACAGAAAGGCAGGAAACCAGAAGAGATAGAACGGAAAGCTGGACAAAATGTTCAAAAGGTTTCTAACGTGGTTCTTCCAACAAGAAAAAATAAGCTTTTCTCTGGGGAAGAACATGGAGATGGTGTCCGGAGGCAAGGGAGGACAGGACGCAGTTTTTCTGCCACAAGGTCGCTGATGCCAATGACATCTGAGAAGCTTGGAAATATAGGGACTGTAAAGCAACTTAGAAGTTCAAGACTAGGATTTGAGAAGAGTGAAAAGTTAAAATCCTTCTATCTAAATGTGTTATGTTGTTTAACAGGTTGTTTGGGCTTACAGATTAAAATCTTACATTTCTGTGAAATCCATGCAGCAAGGCAGGTCGTCCACCAACCAGGAAACTTTCTGATCGTAAGGCATATGTGCGTCAAAGGCATACAGCTATTAGTGCATCAGCAGATTTTCTTGGTACTTGTTTAAGCTTCTGGAAATGAATAATGAACTCAACTTTTCATATCTAATACAAAAAAAATCATTATTCGCTTTTGCTTTCGTTGGTTTAGTTGGGTCAGAAGATGGACATGAAGAGCTACTGGCTGCTGTAAAGGGTGTTATCAACTCTAGTATGAACCTTTCTAAATACTATTTAAATGTGTAGCCTAAATAATTTTTATCTGATGGAGTAGTTCTGAATTTTCTTATTACTTCAGCTTGTGCCTTTTCCTCCCAATTCTGGAGGCAGATGGAGCCTTTCTTTGGTTTGATAACTGAGGAAGATCTTGCTTACTGGAAACAAAAGGTACTGATCCTTACCTTATTAGTTATTATGGGTAAACTATTTTTGCTATTTTTTTAGGAGTTTGTGTTGGATAAATGTTCAGCACGAATCTTGCTAAACTTATTTCAAGTCATGGCGCTTTCGTATGCAAGAAAAAGTGGAAGAATGCTTCAGATTTGTGTTGGTGTTAATAATATTACCAACTCCACAAAATGTGCCCGTTCTCTAAGCATATCATGCATGAGAAGTAATTTTTTAAAGGAAGATAATAACAATGTTTTGTTATTGCTTCTTGTAGGTTAATTTATACTTGCATCTTTTCTTAGTTTTATTGGATTCAATGATATGTCTGATATACATCACAACTAATATTTTGCAAGTTTGCACTAGAAGAAATGCTCTAGTTTGCATTTTGGTTTACACATATATTTGCTGTTAGAAATATTATCTAGCAGAAGAAATGCAGCCCAACCATTGATGATTGTAGTTGGATATGATATTGACATGAAGAAACGTAAAAACGATTTCTGTATACATCCAAGGTTCTTTGTTAATTCTGAGCTTGTTCAGATAGGCACAATGCAGTGCTATTTGCTGTTTATGTATCCTAAGGCTGATTGATTTTATTTGGGAAGATGGTGGCTGTGTTTCAATTTTGCCATTGGAAGTTTCTAGCTGTTAGTAATTTAAGCATCAAATTTCATTAAATTTATAGCACTGGTGCGACCTTTGGTTGATTATTCCAAAGTTAGGATTTATTGTTTTTACTATACATGTTACTTATATTGTGATGCTGTATAGAACTTAGCCATTGTATTATTTGTTATATTATGTTTATTTCTTATATCTATTTTTTTTTGAAGTTTCAACATCAAAATTAACTTTATCCCGAACTAGTTGAGGACTTATGGTTGACCCTATTTTGTATAGTTTGATATATATATATATATATATATATATATATATATTATAAGAAAAGGTGAAAGAGACTGAAAAAATATACTGTATTATTGTTGATTGTATTCTGTAACACAAGGGTCTGCCGTATATAACAGAAAAAGAAAACAAATGGGATCTGTAATCTACCTTGTACGTTGCAATAGCAACAAAACAAAATAACAGATTTTGTAACTAACAACTCACTTAGATTCCAATTATACCCTGCATCCCTAATACTCCCCCAAAGATGGAGAGTGTATGTTGATTACTCCCATCTTGTTGAGTAGCTATGAAAACTGAGTTGGGTATAATGGTTTAGTCAGGAGATCTGCAAGTTGGTTTTGAGATTAAACATGTAGTGTCCTGATCTTTCCATTAAGAAATTTCTCTCTTATCAAGTGGCAATCAATCTCTATATGTTTTGTCGCTCATGAAAGACAGAATTCTCAGCAATTGCATGGCTGCTTCATTATCACAAAACAGCAACGCTGGATCATCATGCTTGACAGAAAAATCCTGCAAAAGAGAACATAACCAGACCAATTCACAAGTAGCATTAGTCATTGCTCTATATTCTACTTCTGCTGATGATCTAGAAACTGTATGCAGCTTCTTTGATTTCCAGGACACTAGATAATTTGCAATGTAGATACAGAAACCAGTAATAGACCTCCTAGTGTCTGGGCATGAAGCCCAATCAGAATCAGCAGAGGCTTTTAATTGTATATGTCCACTTGCCACTGGATGAGTAAAACACTCCTTGTCCTACACTATCTTTACACACTGCAGGAGTCTGTTTACTGCATGTGTGGTTTTCTGGGCTCAGCAAGGAATTGCCTAAGTTTATTCACAGAATAACACAAATCAGGCCTGAATATAATAGCCTTCAATTAAGTGCCTATATGGTGTTGGATCATCTAATAAATCACCATCATCTTGTGTGAGCTTTACATTAGCATCCATAGGACTGGTTTTTGGTTTGCACCCTAAAAGACCCGCATATATACGGATTTGTAAAGCATATCCCCTCTGACTTATGGATATCCCTTGTGTTGAACGAGCTACTTCAATATCAAGAAAATATTTCAAATCACCATGATCTTTCGATTCGAAGTGACTGTCCAAGAAGGACTTAAGCTGTTCAATGTTAGGGATGTCATTTCTGGCAATGACTATATCATCTACATAGTCAACAACAGATTGTTTAAAACCAGAAGATATTATAGCAGTGGAAAACTTGGAAAACCTTTGACATGATGCTTTTCTCAAACCATAAAGGGACTTATGGAGTTTACAAATAGTGTTGGATGGTAAAGGCTCCCCCTCAAGGCGATACCTAGAAGGGAGACATGAAGACCTCTACATTAAGGTCACTGTGTAGAAAAACATTATTAATATCAAGATGTGTGAAGGACCATCCAAAGACATCTGCTAAAGTCAGCAAAACACAAAAATAGTAATTTTAGCCATGGGAAAAAATGTGTCAAAATAATCTATGCCTTCCTGTTATAAAATCTTTGGCCACTAATCGAGCTTTATATTGTTTCAAAGAATCATCAACAAGAAATTTGAGCTTAATAGACCCATTTGCACCCAATTGCCCACTTTTTAGGAAGAAGGGGAACCAAAAACCAAGTGTTATTAGGGTCTAAAGCTTGGAGCTCTTAATGCACGGCGTTATGCCAATGAGGGTCTAGAACAGCCTGGTTAAAAGAAGAGGGCTCAATGTGTGAAGAGATTGAGAGGATAAAAGCCTTATAAGAGGAGGAAAGGCGGTGGTAAGACAAAACATTTTAAACAAGACGCTGAGTAGAAGAGGATGAACTATAACAGTAGTAGTCATAGAGATAGACAAGGGGCTTAGAGACATGGGCACGGTGGGATTGAGGTGGAGAGACACCGAAGACAAAATGATCAATTGGAGGATGAGTAGGCAGAACTACGGATCAGCGAACGGAGTAGATGTAATAGAGGAAGGGAGAGTGAGGAAAAGAAAAATATGCTCATGGAAGATGACATCACAGGAGATGAAAACTCTATTGATGGCCAAATCAAGAAGCTTGTAGGCTTTGTAGGCAGCAAGGTGGATAACCAAGGAAAACCACAAGTGTGGCCCGAGGGAAAAATTTATGGCATGTACAAGGGAGAGTTGAAGCATAACATAGGCACCCAAAGGCATGAAGATGGGAATAGGAAGGGGTTTTGCCCCAAAGTACCTCAAAAAGGGATTTAAGAGAAAGAAGATGGTAACTGATTAATGGGATAGGCCGAAGTAAGGACATGATCAGACCAATAAGCAAGGGGAATGTTGGATTGGAAATGTAGAGACCAAGTCACATTAAGTATATGCTGGTATTTACACTCAACCACATAATTTTGCTGGGGTCAATCCACACACAAATGGTATCGGGTGACACCTTTTTGACTAAAGAAAATAGAGAAATTAAACTCAAGGGCATTGTCTAAGCGAACAGATTTAATTGCATGATTAAATTGGGTGGAAACAATATTGTAAAAATCAAGGAAAATAGAAACAATCTCAGACTTATTGCATAAATAAAACCAGGTGTAATGAGAGCAATCATCAACAATTGTTAAAAAATAGCAATAACTCAACTCAACAGACATTATTAGAAATGAAAGGTAATCATTTTTGTTTGGAAAATGGACAAACATTATATGGGGATAAATCATCAGAAACACAAGATAAATCCAATTGTAATTTTAAACATTGCAACCTATGGGGAGAGGGATGTTCGAGATGAACATACTAGAAGGTGGATGAAGCAAGTGAAACACTGACAAGCAAGAGGTGCAACCAAGTTCAAAACATAAAAATTGTCGGAGCGGCTACTCGTCTTAGTCATTAGGCCCCTGGTACAATCCTGTAAGAAGCAAGAATCAGAAAAAAAAAACAGAAATATTAAGGGAATTAATGAGGGCACTAATTGACAATAAATTGTAATGAAAATTGGGAACAAACAAAACATAAGGCAAGACGTACTTAGCAGGAAGTAGTACTGAGCCTACTTGAGAAACAGGAACAATAGAGCCATTAGGAAGGGAACTGAAGGAATTAGAGATGGGAAAAAAAGAAATAAAATGATGAAGGTCACATCACATATTATGTGTGGTGTCGTCTGTGTCTAAGATCCAAGAATGAGACGGTAACAAGAGAAAGGAGAAACAAGTGGAGAAGGAACACTTGCTAGAAAATTGAGCGGCGGAGGAGATCGACGGAGATGCAGGGAATTCAAAAACTGTGGGAGGAGAGGAGGGATTGCTATTGAAGGGAAATGAGAATAAATTAGGGCAATAATATGAGAGATTTGGTTCGGGTTAAGAGAGGAGGCCAAACTAGGTTCAAACCGGGTAAAATATAGGAATTGGGTGAGGTGGAGTTTGGAGCTTAAGAGGCCGTGGAATTATGGGCTTGTGGGTTGAGGCGGTTTGGACTGAGGCCTGTATCCAGATAGGTATCCATGAAGCTTATAACACCTGTTGATGGTGTGCCTTAGGATGGAGCAATGGGTACAGAAAGGGTAATCCCGTCGTGGCTTGCCGGTAGTAGAGGTGGCATTGCCAGTCAGAGCAAGAGAAATGTTAGGAAGGAGACTAGTGTTGATGCTGCATTGGCGTTCGTCCTGAACAACGAGGGAGAACACCTTAGTGAGAGGAGGAAGAGGGTCCATGAACAAGATCTGTGCACGTGTGGAAGCGAATGAATCATTGAGACCCATGAGAAATGGGAGTGAATATTCTTGCTCCTAATATTGCAACCAAGACTTTAATCCACCATAGAACAAAATGGGCTGAAACTCTCGGAGCTCATACTAGTAGATTTTCAAGGGAGTATAATATGTGTTGACATCTAAAGAACCTTGGTGAAGAGAAATGATATGATGTTTTTGCTGAAAGATCCTCGAACTATTGCCTTGTTGGAAACGCTCCTTGTGATTGAGCCAGATCCCAAAGTAGTAGGGATGTACGGAAGGCTGTCTGCAATCTCGTGAGTGATGGAGTTGAGAAGCTGGGAGATGACCATGCCATTGCAGCGAACCTGATTGGAATGGAGAAGATCATTAGGAGCAGGTTGAAAACTTGTGCCATCAACGAATCGAACCTTGTTTTCAGTTGAGATCCATTGTCGTAGCTCTGCTCATGGTATGATAGTTGGAGCCGGAGAGAGGCTGGCCGACTAAAATGAGCCCAGGAAGAATCTTTGAGGGGTAGGGGGTGATAAAGATGAGCTGCCAGAGTTGCAAGGAGCTTGTTGACCCTTGGGCATGGTAGCTGCCAGAGTCGCATCAAGGAAGGAGAACTATGCTCTTGATACCATATTAGGAAAGATGAAAGGGACTGAAAGAAAAAATACAGTATAATTGATGATTGTATTCTGTAATACAAGGGTCTGCCATATATAACAGAAAAAGATTACAAATGGGATCTGTATCTACCTTACACGTTTACTGACCTATAAAATAACATCAATACAAAATGTTAGAGATATACAAAACCATTAATGTAACCTCACCCATAAGCTTAAACTTTTGGGTTGAATTGGTTCTTAACATGGTATTAGAGCCTCGTGTCCCGGGTTCGATTCTCGCCCTCTCCATTTTCTTTGTGGAATTTCTTAGCACAGGTAGGGGGGCCTGTGCATTGTCCACCCTTCAAGCCCAGTGGGCTCTTGTGTGAGGGGGCGTGTTAGAGATATATAAAACCATTAATGTAACCTCACCCATAAGCTTAAACTTTTGGGTTAAATTGGTTCTTTACACACAATAACAAATTCTGTAACTAACAATTCGCATAGATTCCAATTATACCCTGCACCTTTAATATATATTTAAAAATTCCCCTCTGATCTTGTATAAATTATATATTTTTATCATTACTGATGATTAAAGCATGGTTTAATTGATCTGAATTTCTTGGACAAACCTCTTATTTAATAATTTATTCATCTTTCAGAGGAATTTTGAATCAAGCGGAATGAGGCCAACTCCAGTTCCTTCATATATAGGTGATTGTGAAGCTGTTGTTAATGGGTTTGGGTTGACTGGCTGCGAAAGAGATGTTGGACGTGGTGCTCAAGGGGGTGCTGGAATTGTTACAGAACGGCTACAACTGGCTGAAACAGATTGCAATGTAGTTCCCCTCTGTCAAAGGCTAATATCTGCTTTAATTTCAGAGGAGTGTAGAAGTGAAAGTGAAGATCTCATGTTTGATGCTTATGATACTGAATTTGAGACAGATGGGGAGTTGGAACTGAGCAGTTTGGATGACTACTCACGAGCTGATTATCAGTTTGCTTGTCATTCTGCTTACAATGGTTGTAGGATATTGGGGATGCCAGTTCATGACAAGACTGACAGTGATATAGTTGATGTTCCATCAACTGGGTTGAATTCAAGCCAGAACATGCCTAACCTGACCTGTTCAGAGTTGCAATATGATACCTTGGATATGAATGACAGGCTTCTCTTGGAGCTTCAAAGCATTGGAATTACCCCAGAACCAGTGGTAAGCTTAATTTCCTAAACAACTTTTCTGCTATTTTTCATGAAATCTCATTATTGGGGAACTATGAATCAATATCAGATTTGATTAAACTATTTTGTTCTGGTTTGTTCTGTAGTTCTTTCAGCAGCCTACTTATCAATGGATCTAATTAATTTACTTCGACATGTTCTATATGTTATTGTTAAATCTTTAGTATGTTTGTGTGATGCTTATTGGTTTTTACTTTTGTTTTACAAGCCTGAAATGTTGCAAACAAGTTATGAAGGAATTTGTGAGGATATCACTATGTTAGAGGAGCATTACCAAGGACAGGTACTGACTGATGCTGAAGACAAGTTAAACTGTGCTAACTGCTAATCATCTAAATGTTTTTTTCCCGATATTTTTTCTGTTGTATAATTTTCCAGACAATGTTTATTTGAATGTTGCTTTTGGAGTTTAAGTAAATACATAGATCAGGTTTAGAACCAAAGACATCTGATTTATAAAAAAAAAAATCACTCCCCATTAAAACCGACTAGTGAGTGTGGGGTGGAGGCAATCCTTATACGCAGCTTTACCCTTGCATAATTGCAAAAAGGCTCTTTCATGGATTCGAACTCATGATCTTTCAGTCATGAAAGAACAGCTTTACCACTGTTTCGGTTCGCCTTATAAGTACAATTTAAATTAATTTTGACCATACATAATTCACCTAATGATTTTATTTTCATGTATTCATAGATTTCCAGGAGGAAAGGCTTGCTAGATGGATTATTGAAATCTGCCTCAGTGACAAAAGAACTTCAAGAAAAGTAATTGCAGTGCCATTTTTCCCCTGATGATTTTCTTAATTTAAACTTTGTTGGCTCAATGTTCCGAATGAACATTTAAATTTTGATTAACAGGGATTTTGAACAGCGGGCTCTAGACAAACTCATCGTGATGGCTTATGAGAAATACATGGTAACCTTCTTAAAGTTCAATATCACTTTTTTGTATGTAATCAGGTTTACAGTTTCCGAATAAATATTTTGCATTTCAACCTATTCAAGTATCCCCAAGACCAAGAATCGTATTATAATAGTTGAAAAGGCTGGGGATCTTTATTTTAGACTAATTGGTAGTAAGTACGGGTAGGAAGTAGAAAAAGACACACAAGTGTATGGAACCATGTTCTGTTGTGTAGCCTTAAGGGTCCGTTTGGATGGGCTTTGTTTTAACCAAAAGCTGCTTTTTTCAAGGGAAAAAAAGCACTTATACTACAAAGTATGTTTGGATATTTGCTTTTAAGAAAAAGTAGAAGTCACAAAAAAAGTCATAAACCTATTTTTTTTTTTAAGCTATAAATTTTAGCTTCTGAAGAAAGCAAAAAGTCAAAAGGCAAATATTTTTTTTCAAAAGCCAAATATTTTTAAAAAAATCTAAATAGCTTTAACTTTTGCAAAAATCACTTCCAAAATAAGCAATAAATTCCTTTTTTTTACAAGCCCTAGTGAAATGTATGGCACTAATAATGAATAGAGGATCTTAATGTCCTTGTAAGACTTGTATGGAGGGTTGAGGTTGTTTTCAGTATGAAAGCCTACCATTAACTACAGGAAATGAGGAAATAATTACTCTCAAGCACGTCTTACTCTGTTTTTTTTATTCAGACGTGACATGTTTGACCTATTCTTATTTTAGTGTTTTATCAGAAAATGAAAAGTCCATGCTATGCCTTAGTATCTCGTTTAACAAAATTTAATTTGTCTAGGAAGAAGGGTTGAACACTGACACTCCATTGCCTAATAAATGCTATCATATCAGAAAACGCTCTCTATTTTTTAATTAGGTGACATGGCTGAATGAATTGACAATGATTGATTGGCAGATTTGTCGGGGTTCTAGTCCCTCAGGTGGGAAAAATGCAAGCAACAAAATGGCCAAGCAAGCTGCATTGGGATTTGTTAAACGTACATTGGATCGGTGCCATCAATTTGAAGAGACAGGGAAAAGCTGCTTCAACGAGCCTATATTCAAGGATATGTTCATTGCTGCTGCTTCCCAGCTGAGTATTGTTCGGCAATTAGATGGCATGGAGGCTGAATCTGCAAAACCATATACTTCTTCCTTTTCACTGGAAGCAAGAACAGGTGTCTTCTTTATTCCCTTCTTGAATAAATGCTCTAATGTATTGTGTTTTTTCTATCTTAGCTATGTTCTATACGGCCATTTTAGCCAAAATTCTCAGATGGATTTATTTGTGTATGCCGTCTTCTTTATGGACTCACTTCCTTTGTCCCCTCTTCCTGTCCGCAATCCTGTCTCCCGGTTAAAATGCTGCCAGCTAAGAGAGAGGTAATTGCCAACTAAGAGGGAGGTGTAACTTTTGTTTTAGTTGTCAATATTTAATCTGGTACAGGAATGGGGACATGGGGAGGGGACAGATGATTTGAATCCCTTCTTTGTCGAAACTGTTACATCAAGTTTTGTTTTTTGTTTTCTTTTCCTGCTTCTTTGAGTGCAGGCTGGATTTTGATATTTAATTCATATGCTTTTCATTCTGCAGCTTCCATGGGTTCACAGCAGAGCCCTTCGCAATTTAGTCAGAATATGAATAATCATGATCTCAATTCATTGAATATTCTTCCTGCTATAAATAATTCGTCTGAACAAACTAGTGGGAAGGAAGATATATGGTCAAACAGGGTGAAGAAAAGGGAATTATCCCTTGATGATGTTGGTGGTACTATTGATACTTCAAGTGCTCCATCAGGCATTGGAAGTTCTCTATCAAGCGGTGCAAAAGGAAAGAGGAGTGACAGAGACAGAGATGGAAAAGGGCAGTGCAGAGAAGTGCTATCAAGAAATGGAACCACCAAAGTTGGTAGGCCAGCATTATCTAGTGCTAAGGGAGAAAGGAAACCCAAAACAAAGCCTAAGCAGAAAGCAACTCAGCATTCTGTTTCTGTAAATGGCCTCCTTGGCAAGCTATCAGAGAAACCTAAACCAGCATTGCCTTCTGTTTCAAAGTCTAATGAAATGTCTGCAAATAGCAATGCGAAGGAAAAGGATGAGTTTGGCTTGGGTGAATTGGATGAACATGAGTCTATTGATTTGTCCAACCTGCAGCTACCCGAAATGGATGTACATGGTGTTCATGATGATCTTGATGACCAAAGTCAGGATCTTGGTTCATGGTTGAATATTGATGACGATGGATTGCAAGATAATGACTTTATGGGCCTTGAAATTCCCATGGACGACCTTTCAGACTTGAATATGATGGTTTGAAACCGGTTTTTTGTATAGTACTGTTCATTATACCAATGACAAAGGAAACAAAGTACCTTTAAGAAATGAGTAGTTACATAGGATGGTTTTATGGCTAATCCTGCCATTAATTAGGTTATATAGATTCTTTCCTTGACTCCCCTCTCCAAGTTTTTTTTTGAGTGACCTTTCCAGCTGTTTCGGATTTTGCTCTTGTTGAAGTTCGTGACTTCCACTGTAAAGATCTTTTTGTTCGAGGTACAAGTTAGTATTCCTAGTGATTATATGTTAGCAAACACTGTATCCTGTTTGTAGCTCTTACAAATCAGAGAACAAGGCCCTTGTACATACATTTAATATTTCTAAAAAAATCAGCTTTCATTTAATGAAATGACCTGGCTGGCTTCTCTGTTTATCTTCCTCTCCCCCCCTTCCCCCTTGTGGTTTCTTTTGGTATTTTGTGTTTTGCAGAAGCATTTCCCCAGCATGATGCAGTTCAAGTTGTTTACTATGCTTCATCCCAGTGTTCATGCAGATTTTCCCATGAGGCTTTCAGGGAAAAATTGATAACTGATGTAAATGTGACCATTTTTTGTGTTCCACCAGATAATAAATAGTGCTCTTCTCTCTTTGTTCAGTTGCTGTCCTGCTTAGGATTTGTATATATGAAACACATTCTGGATATCTATCATCAGTGAGGCTATGTAATGTCTGATTTATTAGCTGCAATTCCAAAGCTCTTTTTTTTTTTTTTTTTTTTTTCAAAGTGAATCTGGATTACACATTTTTCTTGATCTTGTAAGAATCTATATGTAAAAGGTCGTGCCAGGAACTTCTAAAATCCTTGTAGTACATTTTGACTACAGGAACTCTTTAGGTGGGTGACTTACAACATCTGAAGATTGCAGGGGCACATTGTTGGAAACTTAAATGTTTTTTACACGATCCACCTTTATGAGAAATTAATATGCAAAGGAATTTTATTGACAAACGTAATTGAGCTGTTCGTTTTACATAGGGAGGTAAGCTTTGAATCCTTCCTGGCCTTATGACAGCAATATGGCCGCAAATACGATCGAAATGACTGTTATTACGTTCTGGTGCGGCGTGACGCAGTTTTTTGCAGCGAGGCACCGCAATGTTTATATGGCTCAGCTTGTGGCGCAATTAACTACTATGGCTTAAGAGACAGTGCTACACACCCTATAAAATTCCTTGGGATATCAAAGTTTGAATAACTTGGATATTATCCATGCATAACTAGTAGCATGTGGCTCGCATGATTATCTTCCTTCTTAAGCTTGCTTTATGTTGAGGTAGGGTCTTGCTTTATGTTGAGACTTGAAGTGAATTCTGAATTTGTTTACGTTCTTGTATGGTTTTAACATTGATTTGTTTCAGTTTTTGAATGGACATCTGCTTCAAATATAAGGACTTCGCGTGCACCGAAAGAAATTCGACTGGTGGTTGGATTTAATAACTATAGTAATGTGAGTTGAAGTACGTTTATCTCTCAGCACCCTTGGCAAATACCTTTTGATCTTACCTCGGATTGATTATAAGCTTTTACGTTTATGTAGATGCTTATTTGAATGCATGAAGCTGTGATAGAATAAAAATTCGACGCACTTCACATCATTGTAGTCATTTAGATTTCACTGTACAGTTTTTTAACTGGTAGTACCTTATTCTTTATTGACTTATGTATAATTTACACTATCATAGGATCAATTAAGAATTTATAATTTGATAGATATACTTGAAAAACAGTAATGTACAGAAGAAAAGAGTGGTCTCCCTCTTTCCTGTTGCCTGCAAGTTGACTACCCATTCATTGACATTGATCAAGGTCTTAAAAACTCTCATTGTGGTTGATTTCCTTTTTATCAAACTGTAATTTATACTTGTATGTTTTTCCTTATGTGTTGGTATTTGGAAGAAGGGTTAGTGTGGATTAGAAAATCAAAATGGTAGTCTGTTTGAAATTATTTTTTGCCTCGCAAATTCAAATAAAAATTTTGAAAATAAAAAATCATAAGCGGGTTAAATGACTTAGGGGGTATATTGGATTAAGATTTTAAAAGACTTTTTTGAGATAAACAATCTTATAGATTTTAAAAGACTATTTAGAATTAGAGAGACTTTAAAGACTTTTTTAAAAGACTTTTTTTTACAATCAAGATTTCATAAGATTATATTTTAATAGAATTTAATAGAGTCAATAAGAAAAGAGAAAGGTTATACTTACAATCTATTTTTGTTTACAACCTTTTAACCATATCTTAACAGTTGATTTTCGTCAATCAACAGTTATCATTCATTACAAATTAAATATTAATTAATAAATTTGATTTGCGAAAATAATAACCGTTGATTGACGAAAATCAACAGTTAAGATATGGTTGTAAACAAAAATAGGTTGTAAGTATAACCTTCCCCATAAAAAAAATAACAAAGAAATGCAATGAAATTAATAAAAAATATAAAACCTAATATAATTTTCTCAATAACTAAAACATAATTTTTTAACAAATATTCAAAATTACTAAACAACATCTTTTCACATATCTAAAGTTATACAAGTCCTCCATGCATTAGTATTTTCTCGTTTCTACTTTTGGATTTGACCAATGTGGTGAAAATTATATTATTCATTTGGTATCAAAGCTATACATATATGATTATAAGACCCAATTTTTTTAATTATTAAAATAATTCTCAATTTGCATATAGAACCTAAAGTTCATGATAAAATTGTGTTTGAAATTTTTTGCAATTGATCTTGAAAACCTTGGGGTTTTTGTTCTACGTGATGAGAGTTTTCTAACCATATATTATATGCATATTTTCATTGAATATTCTAAGAAAATTTTAAATCTGAATTTTTGGATTTTATTACACGAAAGTTTAGAAAATTTCTCAAAAATTTTTCAGTCGATACATTGAAACCTTAAATTGCTTTGGGGCTTTTGAAAAACAAGTTTTTAGTTATCTATTGACATAAAAATTGTTTGAAATCGTTTCCCATAGTGAAGGAACTTAGTTCATGAATGTATTGTTATGAAATATAGGATTCATATTATGAAAGTTTTAATCTTTCTTTAAACTGATTTTATTTCATTGATGTAAAACAAAAATTGGTTTGAGGGTTTTAGTTTCCCTGTTATTTTTCCATTGTTTTATGTTGTTTTTAATACAAAAATCACACATTTTTGTGCCATGAAAAATCACGACTCATAGCTTGAAAATTATTTTTTAAACTTTCAAAATTTCTCAAAAATGGCTAAAAAATATGTTGTTTTTGAGATAGATTATATTAAAATTCCTTTGGTTTGTTGTTTCTGGGTTATTTTGTGATAAAAATCGCTCAAAAATATGCTTGACGAAGCTCTCATGGCGGAACCCGATTTCGAGCGGGTCAACCTGCCAAAGGAAGAAGAAAACATTACAATAGATCTCATGAAATCCTAGGGGTTAGGGTGAGATTGTGAGAGAGACATCCTATTTATATTTCTTACCAAAAAGTGTCACAAAATTTACACAATAGAAAATCCATTAAAATCGTTATATTTTTTAATACTACAAGATTATTTTTCCATTGTTTAAAATCTTGATTGAATACCAATGGATTTGGACGGACTCTAAAATAATCTTTTAAAATCCTAATCGAATACCACATGACTTTTTTCAATCCATTAAAATCCTAATTGAATACCAATGGATTGTTTTGTCCAAAAACATTCCATTAAAATCCTTTGAAATCCCAATCAATTACACCCCTTAGTATTTTGTGTCTTTTCTTATTTTTTTTTCAATTCTGCTAAGATAATTGGATTTGCCAACTTTTTAGGCAATCTTATTAAATTCGGCCAGACCCGTCGAGGTACTGGGTCACTAATTCAACCGCATGACTCGATAAGTATATGTAAATCTGTAATTTATATTAAAACATTATAATTATACTCAAATACCTGTAAAAAATGATACCAATTCAATTATTTTAATATAAAAATCAATGAACTACAGATCATTGTCCAAGAAAAGATCAATCAAACATATAATATTTGTGATAGTGGTGCTTCAGGTTCATGTGATAGTGGTGCTTCAGGTTCAGTAGATTACATCTCTAACTATAAATCAAATCAAAATTCGCTCCATATTGCATAACCAAGATAATAATTAGTGTTGTAGGTGTTGGGCTTCCTCCTTCAATGCTAAGCCCAAGCCCATTTGAGGGGTTTCCTAAAAACCCTAACCCTAATTTCCACCTCCTCTATATATACTCATTACTTGTGGGTGGAGGCTAGGTCAGATTTGAGAGAATAAATTTGAGAGTATTATTTGATTGTTTGAGCAAAAGCCTTATGCTTTACATTTGAGAGATCTCTAGAGAGAGTTTGAGTGAAACATCTCTAGGGTATTTTGATTATCACCATTGTTGGAGAGGTTGAGTTAACCACCACATTGGTGTATTTGATTATTTGTAACCATTATTTTCATAGTGGATTTTTGATCTGGACTAGGTCCCGTGGGTTTTTACTTCTTCATTGGAGAAGTTTCCCCACGTTAAATCTGGTTGTGTTCTTCTTCTCTCTCTCTCTCTCTCTCTCTCCTGTGTTTACGTTTTGATTTTTCCGCTGCGCTGCCTGACCTGGTGAAGTTCAGGCTAAGGTATTGCCGAGATCCGAGATTAGGATCTTGTTGATTGACTTCCGCACAAAAGCCCCTGAGCCGAGCTTGAGGGAACCGAGTTTTCCCAACAGTGGTATCAGAGCCCGAGTTCGACGGGTTCTGAGGGAGACGAGATGGAGACCAGTGGCATAACTCATGATGGAGATATGTTCAAGTTGACCGCAGACAATTTCACATATTGGAGACCGATGATGGAAGATCATCTCTACTGCAAAGATCTGCATGAGCCCATTATCCTTGATGAGAGACCAGCAGGAAAGACAGATAAGAAGTGGGAGATCCTGAGTCGGAAGGCGGTAGCCACGATCAGGAAATATATTGATAAAAGCCTCTTTGAACACGTGTCCGAATTCACGAACGCGTATGAGTTGTGGACGAAATTAGAGTCCATGATTCAGAAGAAGACTCCCAGGAACAAAGCACACCTGGTTCGCCGACTTGTTAAGCTTGAATACAAGGACGGCATGAGCATGATAGAACACCTGAACACCTACAAAGGTATTGTGAATCAGCTGTCAAAGGCTGATATGAAAATTGATGAAGAATTGCAGGCATTGCTGCTGTTGAGCTCGCTGCCAGAAAGCTGGGATACTCTGGTGGTGACCCTGAATAACTCGACTCCAGATGGAAAATTGAAGATGGATGTCGTGACAGACAGCCTCCTGGGCGAAGAATCCA